AATATGAAGAAAGGATTGATTTATTTTAGGTTTTTTATAATTGTAAAAACTGTATATTGGTGTTTTGTGTTCCTGAAACTGTAGTAATATTTTCCTTAAGGGCATTATGTAATACATTTACTGGTAAAAATTAAGATTTTAATATATTGCTGAATTTTACTTGCTAATATTTGATTTAACTTTGAGTCTATATAAATGATAATTTTATGTGTTTACCTTAAGTATTATAATTGCATTACAAAATTAATTAGATTGTCTCTGCTTCTATATTTTAGGAAAAATTATAAAAATGGGAATTATGTGCACATTGAAAATGTTAAACAATGCATTGTATATCATAGCCTTTGGTGGAGATCATACTTCTCATGATTTTTTAGTCAGTACTTTTAGGTTTTTGTTATAGCTTCATTTTTTGATAATTCTTTTAATAGAATAGCATCTATTTCAATGAATTATTACATTTATTTTCATTAGATTTATCATGGTGTCATATTATCTCATGTTGATTATTCTATTTCTTTTTACATGTTTGTAATTCTAGTTTTGGCAATATAATACCATATGCATTAAGATTGAATTTGGCATCTGAAGTTTTCTTTATGATGTAGCAAATAATTGACTTTTATAAACACTCCTTGGATGTTTCAGAGCATACACTTCTTTTTTTGTGACTTAATGTCTGCCAAATATCCATCCATTTCCAAATGTCTATTTGTTCTAAACCAATTGTATTTTTCTTCATGTACCTAATTGCTAATTTCTATTTTAGGATATTATTTTCTGATTAAAAGTAACAAGTTTATCAGAGAGATTCTGGAAAATGAGAAATGTAAAGTAGAAAATAATAGTCATGTATAGTCTGGCCTCCCAAATATAACAAACTTTAACATTTCAGTGTAGTTTTTCCAGGTTTTTCTTCTATACATTTGTATGTACTTCTGGATGAGACCATTCATACCGTAAAATAAACACACTAATCCCTAGGGTGTTGCTGTTACACAAGAGGTTATAATAAGAATTTAGAAGGAAGAGTGTAACAAACATGAGATTTTAGGATGTTGCAAAATATGGAAGAAATCCCAGTGCATTCGAAATATGCATGTGTTAATAAATGGGAATAGCTCCTTTAAATGTGACATTTCCCCTGAAATTAGTTGTATTTTTGTAAGAAATAGACTTAAACAGTAACAAAGCACATGCACTCCAGAGTCAGACTTGCAGAATTTATAAACCAAGTCATGTCATTTACTAGTATATATCCCTGAACAAGTTGCTTACCCTCTCTGTTCCTGAATTTTTTTTTTAATCTGGAAAATGAAGATAATTGTAGTATTTACCTCTTGAGTTCATGTGAGAATTTAATATGGCAATCCACATAAAATTCTTCACATAAACTCAGTGTGTAATATTATTTCTGTTGTATATTTATTAACATTTGTGTGTATGTTAGTGGAATTAGCTACATAATTCAAACCTCAGAATGAATGAAAAGCCAATAATGTGTACTATCCACATTAGCGCATATTCTTGTATCAAATCATTGTTTCTCCAGACATAGTAAATAAAAGCTTTTCATATTTAAATTATTTTTATGATTCATTTTGGCTCACTCCACATAGAAGTCCAAATATTATACCTGGAGCTTAAGTTTTTTCATATTTTAGGCCTCTAAAATTGATAGCCTCCTTGTTTACTGTTACCTTGTGTTTTTCTAGACAAATGAAAGGCACATAATTTGTGTATTTAGTATTTGTTACCTCCCAGCTTTTGATAATTCCACTCTTCTCTCAGGGTATATTCAGTGACAATTTAAAAAGTTTCCCATCATGCAAGGCCTAGTTAAAATGCAACTTATCAAATCATGGAAATATGCCTCCCAACTGAAAGATCTACGTATCTACATCTAAAAATCTACTAGTATATGTTAACTGCTCCTGGAATTTTGCCACTCCTTCCTTTCTGTTTAGTTGAAATTCATCTTCTGTAAACAATTGTTCCCTTCCTGTTTTATCAATTCTGTATATTCAAAATTTTGTACTTATAATTTATTTTAAAATTTAATATCTATGTGTAAATGCAAACTTATTTTCTGTCCCCCCCCCCCAAAAAAAAAATGGTGGTTAATGATTGAAACACCAGAGATTGAAAATATCTCAATTATTCATTGGTGATAAATTTAGAAGTTTTGGAGATTAACTTTTTGAGAAACTTAGAAGGAAATAATACACTTGTACTTGTAAGTATATATTACATTTATAATATATTTAAAGACGCAGTATTAGCTTTAAAGAGTTAACTTGCCACTCAAACTATTTATTATTTAAAAGAGGAATATGGTTTTAAATTTCTATTATAAAGAGTAGCTACTTTTATGTTGGGGTACAGTCCTGGAAATATGCATAATCAATCATGCATGAAGTACATTTAAGGTAATTTAAAATGTTGTACAAAGTTATTATAGTCTTCAAAATTTCCCTTTCATACTAAAATGATCAGGTTAAATAGTCTTTAACCAGCGTTATGAGACCTTGAATGGTTTCTAGTGGATTTTGAAAATTTTCTTGCAAAGAGTTGAATGCATTACAAAATTTTTCTAGTGAAGTTTTGAAAATCTGATTCGATGATATATGTTTTATAATGTTCTTTGTTATGTTTCTACAATAAGTATAGGAATAGCCTTTCAAATAGTTGCTCATTAAAATACCTCAAAATAGTCTCACTGATTTCTTAAGCTGTTATTTCATAAGCTCTAGTATTGCTACCTTTCCCTTTTGCATTATATAAGGGATCCCAGTCTTTAAACTCTGGGAACCAACCATGTATATCTTGTGCTGAGGTTACTCTTTCCCCTTCACTATAATGTGATTGATTTATGTCTCAGAAAACGCCCAAAGTTTCCACTTTAATGGTGGCCAAAACAAAAGACCCATAGTTTAATTTGCTCACTGATTCATAATTTCTGTCTTTGAAGCACTGTGACCCTTACCAATTTGAAAGGAGGGTACATAAACTGTAATTACTGTGAACCGAGGTTCCTTTTCTCCACAAGCATATAGTTCCAAAGTGTTTCTTTAAAAGCTATCTCTTTAGGGTGGGACCATCCATAAGTCATTCTGATACTTCCAATAACTCCAATCATATCCGGAAACCCTGTTTAGGCAGAGCGTTCAAATGTAGGTTTTTATTACTTTCGAATTACCAAAATCCTTCACTACCTAGAAACCTTGTTCTTTTCCCTTTTAATTCCCCCGTTTTTAGTTACTCCCTTCTTCTTCTTCAGCCAATCTGTTCAAATAAATATTCTGAGGACTACCACTTCCTGTCTCCTTCTTCCACACTAAGTTTCTATGCTACTTTTAACTGCAGGCATAAAAGATCACAGTAATGGATTGTCATAAATGTCAGCATAAGATGCCAAGGGTTGTTCGTATGCAAATACTCTATAATGGACCTGAAACAATAGTCATAAACTCTAGAAAAATGAAGATATGATTGCCAGGACAGTATTTTTCTACTATTTTTTCATAACATGATAATTTTTTGTTTATTTCTAATACAATTCTGTGAATTCTGCTTACAGAGATGTATCATAATAAAACAAATGTGTTTAGAGTCATGTACACCAATGTTTAAGAAGAAACTGTTCCTCCCTGATGGTGCAGCAGGTTGGAGAGTTGCACTGGGAGCTTCAGTATGAATTCAATCCCCACTTGGGGACCCACATAGTGCCACAGGCCTCTCCTGCTTGCCTGCTGCTCCCCTCAGCAGTGTATTTTGTCAATCTGCCTGTTCTGCTCCCCTGTCTGACTCTGGTGAATCTGCTCGCCACCCCTGCACCTCTGGCTGTACCCCATTTCTGTATGCATAAATAAATAAATAAATCTTTAAAAGAAGAAGAAACTGGTTGGGGAATTTCCAAGAAAATCTAAATTTCACAGATTGTTCATCTCTTAGTTTTACAGCTTTCTTTCATCCACTTATGGGGGTTTTATTACCCGCATTAAATCTTAAATATATTTTGTGGGAAATAGTGAATTATTGGTGTCTCCTATACCCTTGATCTTCTAGACTTTGCAGACTGGGACAATGTTAGCACAACTTTAACTCATTTCTTTGCCATTCAAATCAAGCTTACCACTGACCTGGTAAAATTAACAACCCAAATTGAGGGAATGACAGACATATGTGATGCATATGGATCAAATCTTGGCTTGCCATTGTTTATCCCCAAGCAAATCATTTCACCTTTATTGATATGTATTTGAAACTTCCACAAATCTACTTAAGGCCCGAAATAAACATAATATCTCTTTTGTACTTAGGAAAAGTAGCCAGGAAAGTAGCAACCAAGAACATAACAGACATCTCTGCTCCCCACTATGGTCAATCTTCTTACTCCCTGCAACTCTGGACTGTAAACCAGGTCTGTATGCAGCAATAAATAAATCTTTTAAAAAATACATGTAAACGAATGAACAAATTTTCATGCCATTTATTCAGCAATGCATTTGTGATCCTGAAATTCATGCACACATTGCTTCCAGTTTTCACTCTCATATCTCTGTAGTTGTCTTTCAAAAAGAGGAGATATTTACAAGTTTGTAGGAATAAAGTTGTTCATATGTTTAAAATATGCTTTTATGTTCGGGAAAAGATTTGTGTATTAATTGTACTTTATTTAAAAATATCATATTAACCGAAGAAATGTTTAAAGATAAAACGGCCAACTTCCATTTGATTGAAAACATCTTTATAAGCTTGATATAGGGCATTTGAAAAAGAAAGTCTCAAATTTCAAAGAGGAAACAAGTAAACCCCATCTTCCCCTCCTCCCCACACTTGGTCTCCACCATTACACACCATGATCACAACTATCTCCCAAGAATAGACATTTATTTCTCCTGTTCTGAAAGCTCAAAGAAAATGACTGGCTCTTCTGGCCAGTCAGTCCTTTGGGAAAAGCCGAGGAACACTGCTAAACAGTCATAAAGCAAGGTTGTTTAAGAAACCACTGATGAGCCACTCTCCCGACTCATGAGGCGAGAACGGATCACAGAGCTGCCATGGCGGGATAGCTGGTCACGAAACTCTGAGGCCATGAAGTAATAGATAATTGGATCCAGAAGGCAGCAGGTGCTTGCAAGACATAGAGAAAATGGGTGGAAATACACTGTTCCTTGGGATGCAGTGGCACATTTGTCAAAGACTTCTCCCTTTACCATGGTGTAAAAGACAAAGTTAATATGATAGGGAGTAAAGCAGATGAAGAAGACTGCAGCACACATAAAAACCATCCGCTTTGCTTTCTGGTTCTCAATTACCTGGAGAGCGATAGGTGGTTTCCTCAAGGATACAACAATTTTCCAGGTACTCCATGCAATGATGATTACCGGGATCACAAAGCCTGCCAGCTCAGCCAATATAATATACCCAAACAAATTCCCTGGCTTAATTTTCCTGTAACCAAGATTAGCAAAGCAGAAGTCTTCCTTCGTTTCCTCGCTTCTCAGGATGGGAAACAGCAAACAGGCACTCCCCACGATGACCCAGATGGCAGCACTGATGGCCACATCATACCTGCGTTTCCAGTCTCTGGCCTTGAAGGGTTGGAGGAGAAAGAAGCATCTCTGAAGGCTGATGCACGTCAGGAAGCAAATGCTGGCATACATGTTGAGGTACTTCAGGTAGAAGCACAGCAGGCAAACGAACCTCTGGAAAGGCCAATGGCCAGAGATGTAATAGTAAATCCGGACAGGTAGGGACAGCACGTGAGCAAGGTCAGCCACAGAGAGGTTGATCATGAAAATGATGGCTTTATTTTTCTTGCTGATGAAGCGACAGAGAACCCACAAGGCTACACTGTTGGCCAGAAGTCCCGGGATGAAAATGAGGATGTAGGTGGTTGCATAAAGGGTCTTCTGGAATGGAAATTCATCATCGCAACTACTATTATCGTTGGTACTGTTGTTATACATACTGATTATTTCAGTGTATTCATCAAGGTAATCTGTGGAGTTTTGATCCCTGACCAAATCAAAGGAAAAGAAAAAGAATATCATGGTTAACCAGTTCTTCAACCAATATGTGGATCTTTCTTGTATCCTTAAAGAGGCATAGAATATTAAAATTATAAAGGACCGTTCTACAGTGAAGAAGCAGAGGCTCAAGGAAGATACACTACTGGTCTATGGTTACCCAGTGGACACTTAAGGAACCATGAAATTGTCTTCAATCTGCCCTCCGAGATTGTCTACATTGTGTCTTGCAGGCAAGGATGCCCTAAAATATCATGTCATTTGTTCTCTCCACAACAGCAACAAAAAGGTGTGGCATTCGAGTCTGTTTCTTTTACCTCCAAATTTTTCTTGGCTCAGGCCCTGATTTAGAGTGGATAGAGCTCATTTTCAGTTGTAAAGGTAGAAACCCTGCCTCACCTTTTAAAAAAATTATTTATTTATTTATGCAGAACTGTGGTACAGGCCAGAGGTGCAGGGGCAGTGAGCGGATTCACCAAAGTCAGAATGGGGAGAAGAACAGGCAGATGGAGGAAGTAAACTGCTGAGGGGAGCAGTGGGAGTGACAGGAGACATCTGCTGAGCCATGTAGATAACATCCATTGCCGTGTATCAAACTCTCACTGAAGCAACTGCCACTAGCTTGCAGTGCTGCGTCCTAACACTGCGCCACCAGGGAGGACCCCCTCACTTTTTAAGCTCCCTTGTTTTTCCTTTTTCTGTCACCTCGCTCTATGAGTATTGACTTAGAACTGTGGCACCCCAGCATTTGGAAAATGGCTCTGTCTATTTAAACTTTGTTACCAAAGTCCTAGATGATTTTTAGGTCTTGAGAATGTTACCTCATTATTTTAACATGATGGCTGGTGGTTCTCCTGTACTTCCTCTTTCTCCCATGGCTCAGGTCTCATTCCAAATTCACATTAACATTTTCAGTTATACATAAATTTAGAAGCTGTCCTAGATTAGTTTCCCTTATATGATTTATAAAAGAAGAGACAAATTTTCTCTTTAAGGATAATTTTGTGCTTGTATGCCATCATAGACATGGCAGATTATCTAACACAAAGAGAACATCAGTAAGGACACCAGCTAAACCACAGTCGAAACCTTATTTTATTCTATTAAAAGATGTCATCATAAGGAGAAAGTGTTTTCTGGACTTCCTCATAGTGTTTTATGCTTCAGTGTGGTTCTGTGTGTTGCACACAGGATATAGGATATGCAGAATATTCTTTAGGGCTCTGAGGGCCTGGCCATGGAATTGCAGGTTGCCTGCAGATAAGAATGTTAAGAGAGCAACAACCCTATTATTTAATGAGCTATTTTGCAGAACCTTAGACTAAGAGGACTACTGAAAATCAGGTAAATCGGTCTCCATATAATGCAGGTAGAAAGAACCCAGGCCCAAGAAAAACGTTTATTAAGGCTACAAAATAACTCAATGGAATATCTGGAACTTCACATGGGAGGACAATTGCATTTAAGGCAGACACGTAAGAAATAAAATAGTGGAGTTGTTCCATGGGCATGGCAAGGAGTTTTTGCTGTTACTGTTTTGCTTTGTTTATTTTAACTAAGATTACAAAAACTAAGGAATGGTTTGATTTTAGATTCTCCTCATAAATAGCATAATGACTTCTTATGATTTTAAGCCTTGTTCCAGAAAATAGGAATGTGATAAAAGAACAAAATACAAAGTGATTAATTTGCAGGGAAAATATAGTCAAAATTATGAGCTACCTTTACACTAAAGACTCACAAACCACCCTCTCTACTTGGGCTGTGATAAGTCCTCTAGAATCATGTGGTGATCTTGTCCATATATGAATGGGAAAAGGAGGGATACTCACAGGTGATAATGTGGGAAAGATTTATCATGTTGAAACCATCATTGATGTACCCTTGAATCTACAATCGTACCTTTCACATTCATTATCGAGCTTAATTATCACAATTTTCTAGGTAGAAGGTACTGTTCTGATCTTATAGTGAATATGAAGAAACTGAAGTACAGAGAGTATCGTAAGTTATCTGACATAACAAGGTATAAAGTGGTAAAATGGGATTTCCTATCATGCTTGACTTACGCCAAAATTTATGCTATTTCCACTATATCACATACCTCTTTCAGATAAGGAAGGGTTATTTAATAGAATGCAGCTCATCATGACATCTGGAGGGCACATTTGGCATGACCTTCTTAATCCACTAGTAGTAATTTATAATCTTGCAACATTAGCTTTTGCTCTAGTGAACCCATAAGAATAGAACTAAACACTTGTCACCATAAATGTCAACCATCTCCTCACTCCTCACTTTGACTTCAATATTAGCTTTGTTTCACTATTATCTACAATCCATGCAGAGGATATGAGCGAGACCAAGAAATGATGGTGCAGATGCATTACAGTTCTAAATACTACAAACAGCTCACACCCACCCAAATCACACTTCCACATTTACATTTGACACGCAAGTTTATTTGTTTCTACTTCACTGGTGCAAAAAGTTTCACTTAACCAAAAAGGGCATATTCTGCACACTCCTTTATGTTAAATAGCAGAGACTTATTAGGCCAGGACAACTTGGAGGTCAAGCTTTATTTTTTTTTTCTGTGGGTTCTTATGCTTCTGCAATTCACAGTTTATTGTAAAATGACAGATTTGCATACCCTGCTCTTTAAAACTTTTTGTTGTCTTCCAAAGAAGGAGAGGTTAGGGAGGGATTTTCCCCAAATCTGTTTGATGACAATTAAATGCAAAATCCCCTTGATAGGGAGGGATGGGAAATTTGTTTGGGGTAGGAGAGAGAAACTCTCTTAGAAAGGGAACATTTAATTTGCTCTGAACTATTTGTGGTGTTTCTGAAATCTAAGAAAGGAGAAAAACTAAGAAGTCAGTAACAGGAAAATGCTGAATGGAAGGGCTAAATTCAGATGGTGTTCTTTCTCTCTGATTTTTGTTTGTTCTTGCCTCAGTTTCTTTATCTCTGGCTCTATTGTTGGCTTTATCTCAGGTTGTTGTATGCGCTCCTGTATTTCCAATGTCCCCTTCAATCTAGACATAACTTTGGTTTCTATCTCATAAAAAGGAGTGAGATTGGTGATTCACTCCCAAGTCTGTGTTCTTGTCAGTTAGCACTATGACTCCTCCCAGACAACGTGGAGACTGAAGATTAGGCTAAGCCCTGTCATTTCACTGTTCCTATATTCTAATCAGAAACAATGTGATTCTCCCTCCTGAAAAGCTCTCAAATCATTTCTGATGCATCTACATTTGTACTGCCAACGTAATCCGAGCTACTGTCATCACTGCCCTTAACTGTGGGAGCATCTCCCTTATTAGACTCCCTGCACCCCTCTTGTGCCCTGCAGTCCATCCTCTCATTCTGTCTGTCACTAACATTATCACTACCATTGATGTAGGAGTGCATTTTATTTGTACATCAAGCGATCTTCACATATTATCTCATAAATGCTCATAGCAGTCCCATGATTATGTCCATATTACCAGTGAGAAAACTGAGGCCAAGAGAGATTAAATAACTTTCTCCCAAGTCTCAAAACTTGCATAGTGTAGAAAGGATATATTAGAATTGGGATCTATGTTTGTCTACATACTACTTTACTTCTATCATTGCATTTACCAAACTTACTAAAATTCTGTTGACATGTATTTCTCTTAATATTTTTTCAACCTTAATAGCAGGGACCATGACATATCTTGACACTTCATAGCCCTTTTCACATTGTGGTCCAATTGATTTTTCTTTGAAATAGTATGTCGTTCTCCTGCTTAAGATCATTTGTTTATTATATTAAAGCCTAACCTCACCACGGCCTAAAGATCATATCTGATATGTCTCTTTCAACATCTCAGACTATCTCTTCCTCATTCTTTATAGTTCAGCTATATCAGATAATTTTAGTTTCCAAAAAAGCCAAATAGTTTTTCTTGACATAGGCCTCTTACATAATTTCTCTCTAGAATTCTCCTCCTCTAGGTCTTAAGCTCTTCTTAACTTCTTTTAATCATAGTATGCAGGTCAAAAATACCAAAGGTATTCACAGGCCTATCCTCATTCACGCTATTATTTCCTCTCAACATTTGTAATTTAAAAGTTCATTTACTTGTTCATTGGCTAATTTATGTACTGTGCTATTAACTCCTTTAATATAATAACAAATCAATTTTATTCATCATCATGGAGCCAGGACATATCTTGCAATATAAGCACCAATTGCTTAGTTGGATTGAATTGCATACATTATAATGTAAAATTTTGTTTAATTGGAATAATTAAACAAAAATGCCGAACCTAAGATGTCAATTGGGCCCTCCCTGGTGGCGCAGCAGGTTAAAGTACAGCACTAAAAAGCTAAAGCAACTTCTGCATGAGTTCAATTCCCGCCTGCCCGAGAGGTGACCACATGGCGTGGCAGACCTCTCCTGACCCACCCGCTGCTCCCCTCAGCATTGTACTTTGTCGATCTGCCTGTTCTGCTCCCCACTCTGCCTCTGCTGAATCCTCTCACCGCCCTACACCCTGGCCTGCACCCCAGTTCTGTATGCATAAATAAATCTATTTTTAAAAATTAATTAATTTTTTAAAAAAGATGTCAATTTCTATATCTTTGCTGCTATTTCCCTAAAATGTTGTCTTCTTGGACTTTATCATCATTATTACTTACATACATCCTTTCCAGTTTGAAAATTTCTGTGTGTAGAAATCCAAGAAAAGAGCAAAATAGTCAATTTTGAAAGCACTAATTTTCAGACATATCCTATGTTGAAAAATCAACACAACTGAAGGAGTCAGAATGCCATCACTATTATCTGGACCTCAAGAAAAGGGTAACCCTGGTGATCTTCTTTCAAAGAGTGTATCTGCTTTATCTCATCAGCAAGTGACTCCTTACTACATGTACATTTGGGAAATAGAATTAAATTAAAAGGCTGAATCTTTAGTTTGTAAAGGTCTCCACACATGGAAAGTAAGGATAAAGGA